TATAGTGTTTTTGAACCATACTATAGTAAAGTGTATTATACTGTATATATTATAGTTTTTACAACACTGTTAATGAATACTACAGTAAACTGCAGTGTATTGTAGTATAATATACCCTATAGTTGTAGAAAACGAAGTACAGTATTGGGTAAAGTCATTTGTTTTTTATTACTATAGTTGTTATATTACCACAGCAACTATAGAATTACCACAACAAATTAAATCAAGTACTTTACTGTAGTATAGCTGTTTTCTCATAAAGTACGCATATACTAAGGTACTGTGAAAAATAAATGCTAACATTTGTTTACAACACTTTTTTAGGACTGTGAATACACCACTCTCGCCTTCACCTGCATCTCGCACAGGAAGGGGACGCAGTGCAAAAGAACCTGTGGCAAAGAGAGCAAAAGCAAATAAGCAGCCCACTTGGTCATGATAAAAACAGAGGTTGATGTTGACATGGCTCCACAGGCTCTGAGATTCCTGCCCGCATAGGAACCTGGACCACAACTAAGACCATGTGATGCACACACTCCCATGAGTCTATTCAAAAGGTTTTTTTCTGAAACTGCTGTGTCAACTCTGTGTCGAAACACCAATGCTCAGGCTGCCAGGGCACGTGCAAAGGGCCATAAATATAAATGGACAGACGTCAGCATCAGTGAGCTGTACTGCTACTTTGGGCTACTCTTCTACATGGCCATGCTGAAGTTGAGGTCCATCAGTGACTACTGGCGGCAGGACAATCTTTTCTCTGTTTCTTTTCCTGCCACAATCATGTCAAGGGACAGATACCGCACCATTTCATGGAATCTGCACATGAGTCACCCAGATGCAGACCAGGACAATGACAGAAAGAGTCATTCACTCGCAAGTGTATGCAGTGTATTGTAGTATAATATACCCTATAGTTGTAGAAAACGAAGTACAGTATTGGGTAAAGTCATTTTTTTTATTACTATAGTTGTTATATTACCACAGCAACTATAGAATTACCACAACAAATTAAATCAAGTACTTTACTGTAGTATGGCATTCTGTTTTCTCATCAAGTACGCATATACTAGGGTACTGTGAAAAATAAATGCTAACATTTGTTTACAACACTTTTTTTAGGACTGTGAATACACCATTCTCGCCTTCACCTGCATCTCGCACAGGAAGGGGACGCAGTGCAAAAGAACCTGTGGCAAAGAGAGCAAAAGCAAGTAAGCAGCCCACTTGGTCATGGAAAACAGAGGCTGATGTGGACATGGCTCCTCAGGCTCTGAGATTCCTGCCCGCACAGGAACCTGGACCACAGCTAAGACCATGTGATGCACACACTCCCATGAGTCTATTCAAAAGGTTTTTTTTCTGAAACTGCTGTGTCAACTCTGTGTCGAAACACCAATGCTCAGGCTGCCAGGGCACGTGCAAAGGGCCATAAATATAAATGGACAGACGTCAGCATCAGTGAGCTGTACTGCTACTTTGGGCTACTCTTCTACATGGCCATGCTGAAGTTGAGGTCCATCAGTGACTACTGGCGGCAGGACAATCTTTTCTCTGTTTCTTTTCCTGCCACAATCATGTCAAGGGACAGATACCGCACCATTTCATGGAATCTGCACATGAGTCACCCAGATGCAGACCAGGACAATGACAGAAAGAGGGGCACAGCTGAACACGACCGTCTTTTCAGGGTCAGACCCCTCATGGACACTATCCGGCATGCATGTAAGGCCATCTATCATCCAAGAAAAAATTTGGCAGTGGATGAAAGAATGGTGGCATGCAAAGCACACACAGGAATGACTCAGTACATGAAAGCCAAGCCAACCAGGTGGGGCTTCAAGTTGTTTGTTCTTGCGGACTCATCAAATGGATATACTGTAGATTTTGCTGTGTACACCGGAAAGAACAACTTTCCCACAGGCCATGGACTGTCATATGATGCTGTGACATCTCTGTTAGACCGTACAGTTTTGGGCTCTGGGTACCATGTGTACATGGATAATTTTTACACTAGTCCCAAGCTCCTATCAGACTTGTTTGCTTTGAAGTTTGGTGCATGTGGGACTTACAGAGACAACAGGAAGGACTGCCCTCGGAATGCAGTTAACTCACTCACTAAAAAATCTGTGAGGGGCTCCATCAGGTGGATTAGAGACAAACATCTTGTGTTTGTGAAATGGATGGACACACGAGAGGTGTCTGTCTGTTCCACCATCCATGCTGCTTATACAGGAGATACTGTGCAGAGGAGGGTGAAAACACAAAATGGATGGAGGACAAAGAGTTTTCCATGTCCTGCAACTGTGACTGCCTACAACCAGCACATGGAGGGTGTTGACCTGTACTACAGTACACAGGACAAAACAATGAAGTGGTACAGAAAGCTATTTCTACATGACCATAGCTAAGACCATGTGATGCACACACTCCCATGAGTCTATTCAAAAGGTTTTTTTCTGAAACTGCTGTCAACTCTGTGTCGAAACACCAATGCTCAGGCTGCCAGGGCACAAATGCTTTTATTGTACACAAAGAGCTTTATGGCACCATGAGCCACAAGGCGGTACCACTTGCAGATCTGAATGATGACAGCGAAAAGAACTTAAAATGCGCCTTCATACTTGACCGTACATATAAGAGTAATACAGCAGTGAATCACAGCATTATGCATGACCATTCACGCCCCCCATTGCATATACCTTTTCTACACAAGAAGTGTCTTAGAAAATTTAAATCAATATATTGTTTTCTGTAAATGAGTGAGTAAGATTATTTTCACATAATTTTGAAGCACAAACTCTAGACTTCAAGATCCAGTTCTCAAAAGTATTGTGAACAAATGTTCTGTATGTGTTTTATGGCCTTATTTCAGTGACTTTAAAATTGTAGTTTTTCACTAAGCACGCATAAACGTTGTTTTCTCAAAAACACAATCGCATACATACATGCTGCTCACATATTATTGTAGCACAGTTTGTGTTGATTACAGTTTTATTAAACTTTAGACATTCAAATGTGTGTAAGCAACTGAAAAAAGCACAAATGTCAGTGCATGTCAAAACTTTTCCAGGGCCCCAAAACACCCTCGGACCCCAGAGGGTTAAACAAAAAAACCTATTCATTGGTATTTAAATGCCTGTTTCAACTATGATTCCTGGGTGTACTTTCATCTAATGGCATCATGCATCATACTTCCCCAATTATATATGGAAGATATATTTGGCTTTGTATCTTCAGCATCACACTACAGTATATGACACTGCATCTCAAAGCTCCAGACTGCTATTGATCCATGTAAGTTCAATCAATGTAATCAATAATCAATGTAAGTCAGCACCAGCTGGTTACTGGGGGAATTTTTGGGTTTTATTTGCTGCTACCTCATTCATTCTGATGGCCTGGGAGTTTGCCCAGAACAGAACCATACTGCCAACACCAACATATAATTTAATCATCTATAAACATAATGAACATATCATTATTATCTGAAGTGGTGTTAGTTTAGTAAGTATTTCACTATGTTGCAGTATATAAATGTATTTTCATAAAAGCTGTGCTGATGAATAGGCATGTAGTGCATTTGTGACATGCTGTAAAAATATTGTAGGTTCAGTGGCAAAACTCTACTTGCAGCTACGTTTCTGCTATGCCATACAACAGAGTCATTTGTTACTGAATCTTGTTAACATTTTTTCCGATGCATGTGCTGCAAGTGTGAGATGGATGAAACAAGCCTAAATAATAGTATGTTTTCATAGTGCATTTAACTCTCTCAAGTTATCTCATCTTTTAGAAGACAACGCTTCCCCGCCAAAGACGAGTTTTTACGGCTTTTTGTGTTTTCACTGTTATACACTAGGGGGCGCTATTATACATCTTCTGAACAAGTACACAACCTACTGAACAAAAACACATGTGTACAGGACGGAGAAATGAGCGATCTCTTATGTAAACAGATGCATATGAAAAATAATGCGATCATCAGCAATGGCAGCATATAAATGAAAACTGCATAATGTTACGGAGTAAAATGTTGATCCAGGAAGTGGTATATGTCTGTGCAAGCTTTGGAGGTGTTGATAGAAGCGATTTACTGGATTTATGCTTTGATAATCGTACTGAATATTACCCAGATGTAGTTTTTGATAAAAATGTGATTTTCTCACCTTTTTGCTCAAAATTATGCATTTTTATGAAACCTACCTATATTCAAAACGCTTCCCCGCCAAAGACGAGTTTTTACGGCTTTTCGTGTTTTCACTGTTATACACTCGGGGGCGCTATTACACATCTGAACGAGTACAAAACCTCCCGAACAAAAACACACGTGAACAGGGTGGAGAAACTAGCGATCTCTTATGTAAACAGATGCATATGAAAAATAATGCGATCATCAGCAATGGTAGCATATAAATGAAATCTGCATAATGTTACGGAGTAAAATGTTGATCCAGGAAGTGGTATATGTCTGTGCAAGCTTTGGAGGTGTTGATAGAAGCGATTTACTGGATTTATGCTTTGATAATCGTACTGAATATTACCCAGATGTAGTTTTTGATCAAAATTTGCTCAAAATTATGCATTTTTATGAAACCTACCTATATTCAAGTGTTGATAAAAAAAGAATGCTTTAAGCTAGAACAAAACTGATCATTTTTGTTTAAAAGTACAGGCTCTGATCTTTATTTTGGTGCATTGCATATTCAAATATTCATACAGCAAAATATTCTGGAGGCCATCAAATTTGAGTGAAAATCATCAAAATCGCTGGCGGTGGCTGGCAACTTTTTTCAAAAATGCTGGCAGGGAAAGAGTTAACTAAATCAAGGAAAATTCATTCCTCATATGGCCCCTCTACTAGTAAGTCAATTTAGACTGGGTTCATCTGAAAATAAGAAAGGTTCAAGATCTTATGTCTCTGACAACCATATGAGCAGCTAAATGAGACTGTTCAAAGTAGCGTGAGTCATTTGAGAAGCACAGGCAGATGCGTGTTTCACCTGATTTAGGGGGAAAACGACATCAGGGGCATTTACCCCATTCATCTGGGCAGCCTTTCTCACAATGGCCTCGGCCTCAACGACCCTCCCCTGAGACAGCAGCCATCGTGGAGACTCTGGAATAAACCTACAAACAACAACAACAACTATTGATAAATAATTAACCTCAATGATGAGAATGAGCTGTTAAAATCAAATAATCGAATGGGAACACTGTTAAAGGGATAGTTCACCCAAAAATAAAAATTCTGTCATTAATTACTCACCCTCATATTGTTCCAAACCTGTAAGACCTCCGTTCATCTTCGGAACACAAATTAAGATATTTTTGATGGATTCTGACAGCTCTCTGACCCTCCCATAAACAGCAAGGGTACTGTTACGTCCAGTGACGTATTCACTTTTGTGTTATTTGTATTGTGGTATGGTTTCTTTTTGTAGTTGTTTCTCTCTCTCTCTCTGTGTCTCCTGCTTCTCTGGGTCCTCCCACTTTTTCAATTTTCCACTCTGGCAGGTAGCTGATTGCCCTTTCCAGCTGTACCTGCTTACCAGCTGAGAAAGAAGTAGTATAAATGCTGAGCAGAACCATTCAGAAGGCGAGAATCCTTCTCCAGAGCATGATCTGTGTCCAGTCGTTGAAGCTGTGGTGCATCCTTTGGGGGATCCGTATGGTTGTTAACATTTTAACCAGTGTTGCCAATTTAGCTACTTTGTAGCTAGATTTAGCGACTTCCCCGCCCCTTTTGAGGCTTTTTTCAAAAGTTTAGGGACAAATATAGGAACTTCTTGGACAAACCTTATCTGAGTTCTCATCTTGCCCACTGATCTACGTTCATCTTTATATAGATCAGTGAATTTGCCATTGTGATGTCATCTAGTGACATTTAGCTACCAGTTTTAGCTACTTTCAATTGAAAGCAGTTGGCAACACTGATTTTAACCCTCTGGTTTAAAATGGTGTTTCTTTAGTTGCTTGTTTTCTATTGAATGATTTAGTCCTGCTAGACACTTAAGCTGTTACTCATCTGATTGTTTGTTTTGTTTCAATTATTGTTTGGGAACTGTAGGGAGGTGGGTGCCATTTTATTTTGTAATCCCGTGTTTTTTTTATTTTCTCGTAATGCTACTTTTACCATCTGAATAGCCTAAAACCAAGTTTTTGTAGGTTATCTGGGGCATCGTTGACATTGAACTTGATTAAGTGTGAGTTCGGTAAGGCCATAGTTACTTAACTTGGTAAGAAGGTTGGCCAAGGGCAGGTGAGGCCAATTGAAGAAAGTTGCTGCCATACTTGCTTTCCCCGCTCCTACTAACAAGAGAACCGAGACGATTAAGTATCGCTGGTTACTATAGGGGGTTTTGTAAAAATTGCTTCTGTGGTTGCTCAATTGACAGATCTACTTAATACCTCTAGAAAATTTGTGTGGCATCTAGCATGTAATCGTGCATTCAATGCTGCTAAAGATTTGTTGTGCCACGCCCCCGTTCTTTCTGCTCCAAATTTTGAATTGCCCTTCAAGCTGTAGGTGGATGCAAGTTCTTCTGGGGCGGGGGCTGTACTTCTGCACGAAGACTTGGCCAGTGTGGAACATTCTGTGACTTGCTTGTCCAAGAAGTTTACCAAGCGTCAACAACAGTACAGTACCATTGAGAAAGAGGCCTTGGCCTTACTGTTAGCGTTGCAACACCTTTTGAGGTCTACCTGCGGGGTAGTTGTAATCCGGTGGTAGTCTACACTGATCACAATCCCCTAGTATTCCTGGGGAGAATATGCAACTCAAATCAGCGGCTGATGAGGTGGTCTTTGATCATTCAGGAGTATAACCTTGATATTCAACATCGAAAAGGTGTAGAAAATGTTGTAGCTGATTCACTGTCTAGGGTGTATAATTTGGATACGTAGGTTGTTGATGGTATGATGTTGTTGAACCTTAATTCATGGGTTTACAAATGTTAATGGGGTACTATTTGTAACTTATGGGTGGGGGTGTTGCGTCCAGTGACGTATTCACTTTTGTGTTATCTGTATTGTGGTATGGTTTCTTGTTGTTGTGCGTCGCGTCTCTCTCTCCTCCCACTTTTTCCACTCTGGCAGGTAGCTGATTGCCCTTTCTACCTGCACCTGGTTACCAGCTGAGAAAGCAGTATAAATGCTGAGCAGAACTGTTCAGAGGATGAGAATCCTTCTCCAGAGCATGAGCTGTGGTCCTGCCCACTCCATTTGTCGAAGCTGTGGTGCATCCTTTGGGGATCTGTATGGTTGTTGGTTTAAAATGTTATTGCTTGTTTTCTATTGAGAGCTTTAATCCCGCTAGACACTTACGCTGTTACTCATCTGATTTTTTTTTTTTTTTTTCTTCAATTGTGGTTTGGGAACTGTAGGGAGGTGGGTGCCATTTTATTTAGTAATCCCGTTTTCTCCTGGTTTGTGGCTAGACTGGGAGTGAGCGTACATTTCTGTTGATTTTTCTTTTCTTTGAGAGACTTGGTAAGAATTTAACTGTCAAGTTAGACTAAACCTTTGTTTGTTATTTTGGCATTGCCCCCTTCTGAAGCCTTTGTTTCCCTCCTAAGTTGTACTTTTTTGTTCCACAGAAACCAGGCTATGCTTAGCTAGCCTTAACTAAAGCTGTTAAAGATCTTGTTGCTGTGGCAGGGCCCAGGCAAATGCTCTTTTTAAATGTTTAATGTTACGTTCTGGTAAAACAGACCCCTACACACTCGTAGGACGTAACCGTATTACCACGATCAACGTCCAGAAACGTAGGAAGGAGATCTGTAAACTAATCCATGTTCTGTGTCAGCTGCACCACTCTGTTTTGCTGTTTGTGTTCAGTGGATATTCTCCAAAATAGCCCCAGGGTGACATGGAGGAGATGAGTTGTTGAATAAAGTCTTTGAATGTTGAATTCTTTTTTTTTTTTTTTTTTTTTTCCTTCATGCAAAGTATTCTTGTAGCTTTGTATAATTACGGTGGAACACCTGATGTCAAATGGATTATTTTACCAGTCTCCTTGCTACTTTTCTGGACATTGATCGTGGTAATACCCTTGCTGTCTATGGGAGGTTCAGAAAGTTGTCAGATTTCATCAAAAATATCTTAATTTGTGTTCCGAAGATGAACGGTGGTCTTACGTGTTTTGAACGACATGAGGGTGAGTAATTAATGATAGTTTCATTTTTGGGTGAACTAACCCTTTAATGTTGCCTGTAATGAGAAATTTCTTGTGATGTTCCTCATTTGTAAGTAACTAAATTAATGTTTCTGCTAAATAATGTAAATATAAATTCAGCTGTTTCTTGTCTCTTTATTTCACAAAAATAGTGGAGTTCAAAGTAAAATCATTTAGAGGGAGAGGAAAGGTACAATCCCAGACTCATCACCCACATGGTGCCTTCTATGAGAATGCAAGAAAAATTTCATTTATCCAATGTCATTTATATTATTTTATTTACAACTTCTATGCATTTCAAATATATTACATCGCCTCTGTCTGTGATTATTACACAAATAAAAGCCATCCAAGACTCCCGTGGTGATGCATTAGATTTATTTAAAAGCACATGTGGCTACGATTACAGTATTTAAACCGGTCCCATACAGAATTAAAGGAGAGCTGCTGTTGGACAAAGGGTCAAGCATACTGGTAAACAGGACCTGAGTTTGTTTCATTTCTTAATGTTTGTAAGCATTTAAAGGTATAAGCTGTCTTACTCAAATGTACATTTGTGTTAATTTTCACTATACATGACAGCCTCAAAGCAGTTATTCTCATGTCTGGGGTATTATGAAATATCTGGCCCATAGCAAACACCTACCACCAAAGCAGCATGCAGAAGATACCAGGAATGGTGAAGACCAATAGCAGCATTCTCCAGTCTCGCAAGAAGTAGGCAGCCAACGGAAGCATCATGTACCCGATTGAAAAGAAAAGGCACACGCCAAGAGTGGCGTAGATGTCACGAACGGATGGGCTAAATATTTCCATTCCTAGAGGAAGGGCATTTTTGGAAAGGGAAGAAAATATACAATCTGATTTTACAAATCTACAATCTGACTTTTTTTCTGAGAATACTTTTAATGTAGATTCTAAAACAAAAACATGCATTTATTATGCAATTTTTAAACAACCTAAAAATTTAATAGTATAACACATTTTATAAATGTATAAATGTTCTGGCAGTCAACATGCTTGATTTGAATGGTATTCAGTCATTTTCTATGGAAGCTCATGTATACAGAATAGAAAATAGGAAAAAAAGGTAATTGAGACTTTTCATCTTACAATTCTAACTTTTTCTGAGAAATTCTGAGAAAATTGCTACATATATAAATAGACTTGCTACATATAAACTCACAATTCTGAGAAAAGCCAGAATTGCAAGATTAAAAAAAAAAAATGTCCGATGTAAACAGAGGAATAAAGTTTGAGATGTAAACTCAGAATTGCGAGAAAGTCAAAATTGTGCGATTAAAAGTCCGTTACCTTTTTCATTTTTCTTATCTCGTGACAGAAACAAGCTTCCATAATTTTCAATAATAAACTGTTTAAGACTGAAACCATAATACAATAATGTAAGTCAGTGCTAATATAAACTGTACACTAAAAATCAGAGCACAACAAAAGTCTTTACCTAAAACAAATCCTGCCACATAGTTTGATATTTGGCCCATTCCAACAATGAAAAACAACAAACAAAAAATCAGCCAAGATGGGGAGAAGACTTGAATGAAGGTAAATACTGTCTGAATCCCCATGGTAACAAACAGCACTTTTTTCCTACCAAACCTGAAAACCAAGAAGAAACAAGTTTATTTCAAATAGGCAACTAGAGTTATTCTGCTCAAAAAAATTAAGGGAACACACAGTATATCACAGTATAACACCGAGTCAGTTAAACATCAGGGATATCAATCTGTCCTTTTAGGAATCATAAGTGATTGTGAATCAGTTTCTCCTGCTTTGGTGCAAATGAAAGTGAAAACAGGTGCACTGGAGAGTCAACAGCAGGACAATCCCCACAATGGCAATGGTTTTGCAGACATTCGCTCTCTCCTAACACTTCCCGACTGATTTGTCTCTAGTTTTGTGTTTTGTCATGCTCTTTGTGGCTACTCGTACATGATGCAGAACCAGCAGCCCGATCAGGTTGCACAGGTAGTCCAGCTCCTCCAGGATTGAGACACCGGGAGACGGGCCGGTATCTGCTGCTTTGAGTGAGGAGGAACAGGAAGAGCCCCGCCAGAGCCTCCAAAATGACCTCAAGCAGGCGACTGGTGTGCATGTTTCTGAACAGAAAACAGACTCCATGAGGGTGGCATGAGCCTGACTGCTGTTAGGTAGCGCAATGAAATCCTCAGAGTGTAAAAGTGTAAAAACAATATTGAAAAAAATTAATTAATTAAGAAGCATAGACATTTATTATTATTATTATTATTATTATTATTATTATTATAACGCCTTTATTTTATTATAACTCAGTCAGTGAATTTGCACTGAAGTGAAGTGACTGACAGCTTCAGTGACTATGAAGGGAATGCCTTTTGTTCTCTTTCTGTATATAGTCTGTATAGTTCTGTATAATTTCAATAAACGGTGAAAGATATGTACAATTAGAAAGAGCTTTATTGCCAGCTTTGCTTTCACACACAAGGATTTTTTTAAATTAAGCTTCCAGTGCACATACAGTGGGGCAAATATTTATTTGAGCCCACTTACAAAGAAATTAAGGGTCTGTAATGTTTATGGTAGGTTTATTTTAATGGATAGAGAGAGAATACCAACCAAAAAATCCAGAAAAAAAGCATTATTTAAAGGTTAGAGATTGATTTGCATTTCAGTGAGTTGGTCAGATGAGACCAAAATTGAGCTCTTTGGCATTAACTGGACTCGCTGTGTTTGGAGGGAGAGAAATGCTGGCTATGACCCCAAGAACACCATCCCTACAGTCAAGCACGGAGATGGAAACATTATGCTTTGGGGCTGTTTTTCTGCTAAGGGTACAGGACGACTTCACCGCATTGAGGGGCAAATGGACGGGGCCATGTACTGTAAAATCTCCAACCAGCAATAATTCTGGCTCCCACAGATTGGTTATGTGCCCATGTGGAACACAGATTAGTTCTGCCACTTTAAGAAGTTACTCCTAAAGTCAGCTCGTTAGGTGTATAAGTACAATCTGTATCTTCCATTCCAACCTCTCCCACCACCATGGGCAAGACCAAAGAGCTGTCAAAGGATGTCAGAGACAAGATTGTAGATCTGCACAAGGCTTGGTGAGAAGGAGACAACTGTTGGTGCGATTATTCAGAAATGGAAGAAATACAAAACAACCATCAATCGTCCTCGGTCTGGAGCTCGGTGCAAGATCTCGCCTCATGGATTAAGGATGATCATGAGAAAGGTGAGGGATCAGCCCAGAACTACACGGGAGGAGCTTGTTAATTATCTCAAGGCAGCTGGGACCATAGTCACCAAGCAAACCATTGGTAACACACTACTAATGAACTGAAATCCTACAGCGCCCGCAAGGTCCCCCTGAAGAAGGCACATGTACAGGCCCATTTAAAGTTTGCCCAAGAACATCTAAATGATTCAGAGAAGGCTTGGGAGAAAGTGCTGTGGTCAGATGAGACCAAAATTGAGCTCTTTGGCATTAA